CCCTACATTAGCTAACTTTAAATCATCTACTGATTTCCTCACCCCATTGTTCACCTTTTTTTCAGGATTGTTTGTGAGTATGTTGAACACCACAGGGCTCGTACAGACCCTTGCGGGACCGTGCTGATAATCTCACTACATCGTGAAAAATGATCACTTATTTCTTCCCTGTCTCTTGTCTTTTAATCTATTTACATATAAGAAATTCTTTCTTCTTATTCCAAGAGATATAACTTAAAGTGCCTCTGACAAGCAAGTGACTTATTTTTATTTTGGTCACTAGATACTTAGTGAAAAGAATAGAAGAGATTCCCTTTCTCCTTGCCTACGTTTGTTCCCAGGTGTTTCTGAAGAAAGCAGGTCACTCAATTACTAGTTGGATTACTCATCCTTATGACTTGAAAAACAAGGAAAGAAAACACAGTGAGTACAAGTCTTTGAAGCTTCAGGGATAATTGAGATCAGCAGCACCTCTTAAAATAATCACAGTAACACAGTGGAAGTATCGGCTAAGTAGATACTTTCCTTGCAAGTTTTTAAGACTTTATACCTTCTTTTTTTACTGTGTTATCCTTTCAGCTGGTAGTTTTAATTTGTACTCACAACTAATGTGAGAAGATTTTTTAAAACTGAGTACAGTTGAGTGACAAACTGAACATTACCAGTATTTTTTGGCAATAAAGAAATTCTTTTTGTTATTAGCTTAGTCTAAACCACTAGTTTAGATCTTAAAGCTCAAGAACTCAATGTAGACCTGATTAACAATTTGATATAAAAAAAAGCCTATGATACTTGTTTAATAATTCAGTCCTTTACATGCTCTACATGGATGCAGAAACAAGACATCCAGAAATAAAGCATATCAAAAGAACATCCTAGCAGCTATGTGTGATCAAACTGAAGTTTCAGTTACCCCAAAAGCCTCCCTCTGACAGGGCCAACAGTACATGCCTTAGGTATAGTATAAGAACAAGCGTATTTCAACACTCTTCAAAACACTTCCAAACTCTGGCACATCATGGGCAAGTTTGCAGGAAAGAAAAACGTTTTTTGTTCAGGCATATACTCTTAGCATCCACAACATCCTGCGGCAAGAAGTTATCTACAATTTAACTAAGTGCTGTGTGAATAACCACCACCTTTTCTTTATTCCAAACCTGATGCCTGATACTTTAGTTTGCTTCTAATAATATAAAATCTAGAGGGCAATCATTTCCGTGCCATTCATGATTTCATAAACCTCTATTATACTCCATTTATTCCCCACTCTTCCTAGATGTTTCAGCCTCCCCTCACACAGAGATTGCTTCTTATGTCTGATGATCCTCAGGAGCCATTTGAACATCATTTCCAGTTCTACTGTGCTTCTGAAGATGCACACAACACTCAAGACATGAGCACACCAGGACTTTTTAAAGCAGCAAGCTAATGACCATTTTTTATTTTTCTAAAGTTCAACTTCAGTCCTTCCACATTACTTTAGAATGGGGTCAACATGAAGGATTAAGAAGAATTCTTTATTGAACACCCTTAGCACATCTGTGCCTTAAAAGATTTTGAAATCTGGGAGAAGAGCAACAGAATGTACAGATTTTTAGACCTGTCTTCCTAATTGTTGTCCTCCTGTTCCATAAGCAGACATGTTTCATATGCATGTAAAGTATGAAATAAGACTTTTACCTAAAACAGTCCAACAGAGACCCAATCACGTCATCTGCTAATTCTTTTGGAAGTCTTCCAGTTATTCTACCAATTCTACAGAAGTTAAAGAAAAAAAGAAAAGCATACAGTGATTCATTAGTATTGTATTTGATGAACAAGCCCTATTAAAATATCTAGTTACTGGAAACTAAACAATAAGACGGCTGACTTCAGGATGACAATGCCCTATTCTAACATCATTACCCTAAACCACTAGAAGCTACACAGTAGCAAACTTAACACAGAAATACACTTTTTAAAGTGGAAGAGAAAAAAACATTTTGAAGAAATGCTACTTTACACCCTTGAAATCAAGTCTTATCCAGAATGTTTATTGCCAAACCTATCTGAAATTTTCCTGAAGATTAGCCCAATTTCGTATGAGAGAAAGATATGAACATGGCTTTATACCATGAGCTGTGCTAAAACCATTTGAAGTAACTGTGAATATTGACAACAGACATAAATTATTAATCATGAATTACATCAGACTATATTTCTATGTTGTTTACTTTATTAAAGTAAGTATGAAACCTACCCTTTTGCTGCAGACCACCTGACAATAGTGTCTTTGTCTTTCAGTCCAACCAACAATTGCTCTGCAGATAATTTTAAACAAAACAGAATATTCTCATTTAATAACAGAAAGATTTCTTAAACTGTTCAAAATTAATTTTCCTCTTAACGTAACTGCCTCTTAGTTTAAATAAAAATATTTGTATTTAGATTTCTTCTGTCACACGAGTACAACTTGAAATCAAAGAAACAAGAAAGATGTCAAAATCATTTTCCAAAAGAGAAAATTTGGTTTGAAATTTTAAGTATTGTGGAAGATTCAAAATGGAAGTCATGGTGCTTTTTTCAGTGGTTCATTAGATTATTCAGTTATAAAAGTCTTCTGATGCAGTTTTTGCCTATTTATTTACAGCATATCCACTAGCAAGCCAGCAGAGGACCTGCTGTGTGGCTGCATACTGATGAAAAATAAAATAAAACAAAATAAAATTTTTTAAAAAGCTGTTCCTTTGATACTACTGCAGCTTAAAAAATTCAACCATAATTCTTTAGCTTTCATGTAACACACTTTTTTTGTTTCATTTTTCATTATGAATTTTAATTCATGCTTCCATCTCTGAAAGGTTCAAGATCTCTCTTTCATATTGCTGGATAAAATTGGTAAAATGCACTCCAGTAACTCCATCCCCCAACCCCACAACAAATGCTGCAGTATTGAGTTGCTGCTTGAGATGCTGAAATCCAAATCATTTGACAAAAACATACTATATTTTAATCAGTTGCATAGACCAAAATTTTCTAGTCTTTCCAATTGTTCACATCAGCACAGATAGCCACACGACTTTCTTAGCCCTAAGGAGGTTGCTTTCCAATATATGTTTAATTTGCAGGCATGACAATAATTCCTGTCCAGTTTTAACACACCTACAACGTTTTCAATCTCTCCTGGAATGTCATATTCCTCTTCATCATCATCTTCATTAGCAGCAACTGTTATCAGTTGGTTCCGCACAACTGAACCATGAGCTTGCAGATTGGCAGCCAGAGATCGACAGCCACGCTGGTATCTGCACAAGAAACAGAGTTAATTTATTTTTCTGATTTAAGTTCCAACCGAAATATGTACATACTGTCATAAAACCTGCTTGTCAAGTTACTATACCTCCCAATGTACAGCTTTCCAGTTATTTAGTAGTTGCTTTAAAGGAAAAAGTATCCCGTTCTCCTCTCTCCTGAGCCAGTTGTCTCTTTTCCAAGGTGAGAAGAGCTAGACTATTTAAATGGTTCCTTTTCACTATCTGTCCCTTTCCTGTTTCAGTATAACCTACTTTCCACTGCTGACAATAGAGGCAAAATTCCTATGCCCTAAAAACCTCTCCAAAACTTAAAAAAAAATATAAAAATTAATAAAATCAACCTATTATACATTGTTTTTTGAATGTGAAAGCTAGCTTAGTACTTTCTGACCAAGCTGTATTCAGATATTTAGCCTGTGGTGTAGATACGTTCTTACAAAAGATATACTTTGCATGCTAAACTGACTTTTGCCATTGGGCAAGGTACACTCTCCACCTAAAAAGAATTTTCTATGCCTAAGGACGTTCTCAAAAGTTGGTAAAAGAAATACAATAAAAATAGTCACCAAGGGAGCCTGCAATTTTAAAATATCAGTGCGAGAAATCTAAAAAAGAGTTTGCCCTCTGGCAATAAGTAAAACCAGACACCAAAACCTGACTAATATGCAAAATGAAAGTGGGATTGCAAACCACTTTTCCCCTGTGAACTTTCTATCGAATCAGGGTAGAACTATGTAATGGAAAAAGTTATGTTCACCCTTACAAAATTGTACTAAATCAACTTCAGTAACCAAGGTCAGTGTCTTCCCATCTTTACCAAGTTATGCATTATATAGGAACAGGCTTCTGCTTGTGTAATGTGCAACATGAAAAGTCAAAAGAATTGGCTTGGCACAGCACTGGTTTACTACACCAAAACAAAAAAAATTACAGGAAACTTAAATACAGTGGAAGAAATCTACTTTTTCCAAGTAGTGCAAATGGAGAATATGTTCATTCCCAAATAACACGGGGATGTCTTTATTTCTCTTTTAGGGGAGGTTAGGAGGGCAGAAGGCCAGTAGCCAAGTGTATGGATTTAGGTATTTTAAAGTTTTTTGAGTGCTTTTGGATTTATTTTTTTTTAAACTGTTTAATGTTTAAACTAACCTCCATTTTGCTATCTTCGGTTTCACAAACGTCAGTCCAAGTCGCTGAACAAGTTTCATCCCTAGCTTGCGAAGAACCATCTGATTACTTTCTGACAGCTTGCAGTTATCAAGACACTCAAGTACAGTAGCAGCTGTAAAAGAAAATAACCACACTAGAAAAACTGTTTTGTAAAAAAATCTCAGTAAGAAAATTTTGTAGAGTTTTGAAAGTTCTTTAGAAGATTTAGATTTTTAAAGGTATTACTGAAATGCAAATGCCTTATTACCTACTGTGTAGTAGCTTTGACACTGGTCAATAGTAGGTAATAGCCTTCACCCACCAAACAGGAAGGATTGCTTTAAGGTTTACTTTTGACTTTGAAAATTATAATGAATCTAGATTCTAAGAGTATTTATGCCTCTAATTCTCACCAGAAGAAACAAGTCCAAGTATCTCTCAGGGTCTAAGAATTTTCAGTAGTTTAACAGTCAGAAAATATAACTTATTTACTCTGCAGCCAGTTTCTGCATATTAAGAAAGCGTTCCCTTTCCTCATTTATTATTTTCAGGCAGCACCAGCTTAACTCCTCTGGCACAGAAATTTTTATGATGATGAATGTCCATAAACATTTAGACATGAGAAATACTGTGTATGCGTAAACAGTCAGCAACAAAACCTTTCATTTGGGCACATCAAAGGGAAAGTTATTTGTCCAGCAAAGTAAAAAAAAAACAGATGAAAGAAGAATTGCGTTAATGAGGATAAAGTTCCAGGATTCAAAATTTTCACAAGGAACACATTCCTGTTACAAATAAAATGGTCCTTTTGCATTTTCAGCCTGAAATAATAATTTTTTTGAAGGCTGATCATTAGTTAATAGAGACCAACAACTTGGGCTCTGAAGGACCTATCATTTTTGCTATAAGCACTCCAAATATGGAATCACACTGGCAAAATACTCTGCAACCTCTTACTCCAGTCTCGTACCAGAGTTTTCGGAATACTAAGACTTCAAAGATACAACAATTGTTTCAAAGTCTGAGAAATTGCAGGACATGACTTAAAAATCTTCTAAGTTTTTTAAAAGGTTTATGATTTATCCTGACATACTAAAATATTAATAAAATAATACATGCAGACAAAAAGTTAAAGCCAGTAATGCCCATTACTTCAATACATTCCAGCAACCTGGACTTTTTTGCAGTTGTAAAATCTAGAGAGACTAATGGCTTAGAAGGAAGAGACTGCAGAAACACCAATATTCACAGATAGAAAAAAAAATTAAGAATATACAAATACAAGCCTCTTCCAAGTCCTGCCAATTCTTGAATCACTATATCTACAGACCCATGCAAATGACTTCGGGACTAGTGCTTATTTTTAAATCAAGTTCTACGCTGCAAAAGATTTCAAACAGTATCTTCCTTTGTCTATTTTTTCCCTATTTGATCCTCAGATCTGTTATAACCTGTAATAATTAAAAATCTTTGATATTTTTTGTCTCTCACATTTTCTTATCCCCACCAATTTCTCTCTAAATAGTTGCTTCTTAATTGTGAGCATTCTATCTTTTCTATGATAAATTTATTCATTGGTATGCCCGTGATTTTTCTCTTATTACCAGACTCAGAACTACTTAACATTCTTTCTATATGCCATAGGCCAAAACATCTAATTTTACCAGCAGAATTAATGTTGTGAGCCAAATATCTTCTCTTCATATAATGACTATTGTGTTGTACAGTTCTACCTTTTAAATCACATAATGTTGTGTTATACCATATTTTATCTAGTCTGTTTATTATTCTGTTTATCTAGCAGTCTTAATACTCTTTAAGCTTCCACAGCGCTGTCTGCTATTTCTATGTAATGACATTCCCCAATATTTTCTGTTTGTTCCTGACCAGCTGTACAGCACATATGTCATTCCATCTTGTTTGTCTTCACTATCTTATCTCCATCTTTACCCGTATCTCAGGCATTTTGTAAAGAAGTGTTTGCATCTCAGACTTAGTAACTGGGAGAACGAAACTCTTTCCAGCACTAGATCTATGAAGTTTCTTCTCGGAAGTCAAAATAATTCCATGAAGTGAAATCATAAACATTCTAAACAGAGTTTACATCATTGCTTGATTCTTGTGAATAGCACAAACCACATTTCTGGTGCTTTGATAAGTTGCACAAAACTGACAAGGTCTTTTGTACTGTTTTCTAAGTAGCCATCATCTTTCCCCACCTCTCTTTACTGCTATCAATAAAAAAACCCAAGCTTGTACTTTGCAGTCAGTTCTGACCATATTCTAGGATTCACCATGAGATGACCATAATTCCAACATGCAGCTATGCTGTTCCAAAGCTTCTGTGCTCTCCTTCCAGGTACCTGTCTATCCGTAATTGCATCCACTATAATTTCTTTTCACTAAAAACTTTTTCTCATTTAAACAGAATCACTACATGATTCCAGCTGGGTCCTGTACACGGCAGGTTCTTTAAACTTGGGTTTTCCAAAATCCTGTGCTTATGTTAAAACTTGAAGATTTTCTGCAAAATTTTCAGCAGTAATATGTATAAAACCAGTTTATGTTCTAATGAATTTTTAAAAATATTTTCCACATCTTATAGTTTATAAGTTCTGTGTTCAGCTCCTATATTATAGCAATGGCCAGTGTGATCACCTGTCAAATTCTTTCATGAGCTGTTCCAATATAACATTCCCCAGTGGCATCTGCTCCTCCCTCACTGTCATCTCTTCTTTTTTCCCCTCATTTTGCATGCTCTATAACTTCCCTGTTCATTTCACTCTTTACAGCCCCACTTGTTATCATTTTAATCTTTTTTTTTTAATTGGAATGGCTTTAAAAACACAAATCAGGGTATTACAAACTTACCATATGGTAAACAATCTTCTCTTTTGGCATGTTTAAATAACTGTGCCTACAAATAAAATAGGGAAAACAGACATGAGAATATAGAGATTCTAAAGCATAATATATCAAACATGTAGTTCTAAAATACTTTTTAATGTTCTTGCAATAATCTCTTGTTTTTACCAATTTAAATAGCATAAAAGAAAGAGTCTCAGGGTGCAGTTTTATTCTTTGTAAGTCAATGCAGGTCAAGAATACTGTAGCCCAGCCCTCCCCTCCCATCTATACAGTCACGCGAGCAGCCAACTCAGGGAGCCGAGTTGGCCAAAAAACACTTAACAGAGAATAAAAAAAAAAGAAGGAAAAAACCCCCCTACTAGTTTTCAGCAAGCTCAGCTCTCTGAACCATCCAGCTCAGTGCTTGATCACATGAGCTCAATGCAGGTGCAACCACAGCACCTATTATCTCATACAGCTCATGTTGCTTTCAACCTTTATAAAGTGAAGCAGAATTTGTAGACCATGAATAAAGGCAGAAAAACTAGGGGTACACTATATCCTGTTAGGACTTCCTGACCCTGAATGTCTCCAAACTGATCAAGCTGTGCTTATGATTTGGACAACCCATCGACACTTTGGTCACTGCTAAGAAGCAGGACAGGTGGACACATGAGAGCGAGCTTAGTTAGTAGTAGTAACCACACACTGACAGACAGGACACACTACAGGCTAACCCGCTGAGTATTTTACTCTGTTTCTCCAACAGCTTCTGAGAACTCCATGTTAAACTAAACAAAACCAGCTACAGAAATCTGACTGCAAATCCACTACAAATATACCTCCAACAAGGCAAACTTTAATTCCTGTGCCAAGGGATTTAAAGAAGCAAAGAGCTTCCAAAATAATAATATATACAACTAAACATCCCGGTAAGACTAAGCCCCAGTACTACAGTGAGACAAATGGACAATTAACACCTGACAAGAACGTGTTATACATTTAAAGCTTCCTCAGTTCACTTAGTATGCATCAAAACTACTGTGTTCAGTCACTTATTTTTACTTGCTTTGTCATTCACCAGCAGAAAAATCTTCCTCAATAAACATGCCTAGGAGTTAAACAAGAACAGACTTACCTTAAAAACATGTACTTTCTCACACATACCAAACACACACATGCCTCCCGTACTGCAGGTGTGGTTAAGAGCAACAAAGGCAATAAAAACACCTTTAGGCTATGTACCTATTCTATTTTGTTTTGTTACTAAATTGCATTTTAGGATCCTAAATTAGCACTTCTGATCAGCTCTACTACAAGTTACATAGGGAATTTGATAATATATATTGAATTATTTATGATTTGTAATGCTTTCACAAGTAATTAGGCAATTGTAAGGAATCCTTTAAAACATACATTTAGAAAGCGCTATTGCAACAGATCTACAAATCTAGAGCACCTATAAAATTTTTCTACCTCTTTGCTGAAACATACACAAGCATTCTTCATCACTTTGTTCCTGTGTTGTGCATTAAAACCCCATCAGATGGTTTGTTCACAAGGTTAGCAAGTTTGCAGTGGATGCTAGGAGATACTGCCGCATTTCTGCGGCACCTTATCTTCACAATTACTTGTCCTTTCTGTATAATAGCCCAGTTAAGAGCAAATACTGGTTTAAGGCACACACAGGCTGCCTCCAAAGTATTAGGATTATATTCAAGCATATTTGCATTGGCTCTGGCTGAGATGGAGTTAATTTTCCCCATAGCAGCCCTCATAGTGCTGTGCTGTGTATTGGTAGCTAGAAAGGTGTTGAAAACACACTAGTGTTTTACCTGCTGCTGAGCAGCGCTGGCATAGCACCAAGGCTGGCTCTCCAACATTCCCCCCCTGACCACCACCAGTAGGCTGGGGGTGGGCAAGATCTTGGGAGGGGACACAGCCAGGAGAGCTGACCTCCAACTCACCAAAGGGATATTCCATACCATATGACATCTGCTCAGCAATAAAAGCTAAGAGAAAGGAGGGGGAAGCGGGGCATGTGTTATTTACTACGTTTGTCTTCCAGAGCAACTGCTGCTCGATGTGTACTGAAGCCCTGCATCCCAGGAAGTGGCCAGACATCCCCTGCTGATGGGAAGTAGAGAATAAATCTTTTGTTTTCCTTTGCTTCTGCGCACGGCCTTTTGCTTTATTAAACTGCCTTTATCTTCACCCACAAGGTTTTTTTCCATCTTATTTTCTCCCCATCCTCTTCTGCTGAGGAGGGGAGTGATAGAGTGGCTTGTTGAGCACCTGGTGTCCAGCCAAGGTCAACTCACCACAATATTCAAACAAAACACTGTATAATTCCTGAAGTAGTGATAATGTAGAGAAACAGCTTTTCAATATAGGCTTGGGAATGCTCCTGGACAAGTGTGGTTGGATGTCTATGCTCACACTTCTCAGCATACTAGGAGCTCCTGCAAATGAGCAATAGAATCCTCAGAACATCTACACACTTCCAGTCTTACGTAGTTCCTAAATTCTGGCACCTTTCTACAAGTTTCTCTGTGAGTTTTCACATCCTCAAGGCCACCTGTGAATTGAGTTCTGACTCCTCACGAAAAACGTAACTAGAAGGTATCACCTTTAAGCAAGATGTGGGAAGAAATTAACCAACAAGCAAGCAGGAAATGAAAAAACTCTTAAAATATTGTACAAGAATCTCTGTAATGTTTTTCTTAAAAAAAGTAAAAAACCAGCCTTACTCCCCTACGAGTCAACTGAGAACAGTGAACTTGAGAAATTCCATTTCACACATTTTTATAATTTTCTGAACAAAAAAGTGAAACATACGTTGCATCCCTACAACAGTTTCACTACATACTTAAATAGCAAACTATATTCATAACTGATTTTCAACACAGAACATCTATTCTCCAACAAAACACTCCAAGAATTTATAATACACTTTCAGATGTTAAAATCATCATAGCAACTGCTGTAAATCAATTGAGATATGGATTAAGGGATTTTATTTTATGGATGCAAGTTTTTAGGGGAAGTAAAAATTAACCAAAGAACATCATAGCTACTGTGTTTAAATTAATAACTTTAAAAAAAAATAGGACTTAATATTTACATGTTTTCTGTTCAATAGAATATGTTACCTGCTGACTTTGGAACAAACACAGGTGAAAATGCCAAATGTCTGAAAGGAAAAAAGTTGTGTTTGCACCCAACTAATGTACATTGCAGGTCAGACATAACCTTCTACCAGATTATTGATGTTTCAGCAGGTGATACATCAGGTATTTCTCTGTATCCCAGAAAAGTTTAATAGTCATTTTTACCAAACCCCCACAATTTTTATAGAAGTAAATAGGTAATAACCAAACTGTTGAGAACTACTGTTCAGATATTCAACACAGCAGGAAATTCACTGTCTGGGGTTTTTCTTCTGATCGTAGAAATGTCAAGAAAAGAAGTTTTCATTACTTCTTTATAAGTCAAAGCACGCGAAAGCATTCACAAGCCCAAATTCCCCAAACTTCTGAGCATACTAGATATATTTTCCAGGGAAAATAGAAGGGTACTTTAACCAATGTTGGCCCTTGGGGAAGAAGAAATAATAATAATTTAAAAAAAAAGGCTATGCATCTTCTTCTGGCATGTGCTACAAACAGTCATGCATGTAAGGCAAAGTTACTGTCTCAGAAGAATCCTGCAAACCTGGAGTTTACAGGGGTTATACTAAAGAGATGCATGAACAGAAAACATAAAAAAAAAAAATATAGAAAAAAAGAACAAATCAGCATTACAGTATTCAGCTTAAACTTCCTGCCTTGAAGGAAGAAAAACATCCAGGGCACACCATTTCAAAAAATCTGATACAAACAAAATAATTAATAAGCTTGGTTTGCCACCTGCATAGACATTTTAGTGTCAGCAACTAACAATACTGACAGTAAGGAGCCTGTCTATTGGAGTATCCAAGCAATCAAAGTTACGCCATGCTCTCTTCACTTTAATGAGGACATACAGCATATACCAACTTACCCAACCTGTTGAACTGTTGAAAACTATGTGACTCCCTCTCTTATAAATAATTAAGCCACCTACAAATTAGAGAAAATCAGTGGTGTGCAAGCAATGATGACTGTCAAGTCTGGTTTTGCTTTGAAATAGCATGGTGCAAGGAAAACAAAACCTAGTTTCTTAGTAATCACAGAAGAAACACACCACACCTTCCAATTGTCTGCATAACCCACTTTAGGCCCGACCTTCATGAGATATATCAAACAGGATCACCTCCAGGACATGTTCCCCAAGCTATACAAATCACCATTAAGGGTGGCCTGACTGTTTGGTAGCAAGCATATCTTCCTGCCGAGCAGGAGACACAAGTCTGAATCTACCCTCTGGTTGTAACCAACCAAGTCAAGGATTGGGAGGATAATTTCAGCCTCTTCTCAGGGAAGAGAAGAAAACGATATCTTTCATTACTCTGGAGCACCCCCTAGTAGTCACACAACATCCAGGTCCAGGGAAAGCTATCAGCCATCCCTGCCTCCAGGCCAGATGTGGGGAGGTAAACAAGGTGAGGGAGGACATACTGTCAGGATAATAAGTTCACTTGAAAGTAGAGAATATTTAATGCATTATATGTGCAGCTAATGGTAAAACAGATTAGTTAAAGCCCTTGTTCTTACTATGTCTTCAACACAAACAGTAGTCCTTCTGTAGGTCAGACATATTTGTCAGGGCACTGATCATCAACATGGTACTTAAGCTGACAAACTTCAATACAGAGCCCAGTTACATGGGTGACAGAGTTCAGTTTTCACAAGATCTTAGTTTAGCAGTTGAAAGCCTGAAAAGTTTAGACTAACACATGGAGAGCTAACAGAATAGTTCCTTTCCATCTTAACAAGACTATCCAAACCCACAGATTTGAAATACTTGGAAGAAAAAAGAAATTAGCAGCTTGAGACAGCAGCATATTTTAACAGGAAAAAGAAACAGTCTTATGATAATCGAACTTCTGAACCTTGAAGTAACCACAATACTTCTGGTGAGAAGGAAAAGCAGCTCAGAAGTATCAGACAAGCCCACATTAGCATACTCCATGCCATTCAGAGAAGAGATACACTACTACCAGAAAGGGGTCAGTGACAAAAGAATTTTTTTCTTCTCCTCATACCAACACTGCTTTTTGTACACCTTTATCAAACTAAGCAATGACACCTTTTTTAAAAAATAATGCCAATAGACAATCCTAGCTTCGCTAATTCTTTGAGAATGCCAAAAATACAGAGACTTGGGAAACATTCTATTTGGAAATATTCTATTTTTGTGCCTCTGGGTCTGAAAGAATAGAGTTAGAGAGTTCTTTCTTCCCTGGAGCAAAATTTACATAAGCATGTAACTATTGCTAAATAACTTTTGCATTAGAGACAGCTCAGGGAAATGCCCTGTTCTTAAGACTCTCGAGTTTCATCAGATCACTGCGTAGGGCGTTCTGTTTTTTTTTAATTATTACTCACACTTGTATACTGAATCACTTATAAAACAAATAAGGTTTAATAAGTTTCAATGCCCAAGGCTACCTCAACATGATGACATCTCTGTCACGCAAGAACTGGGAGTGCTACACCCTGCAGCAATAACTAAAAAGCTGTTTGATATAATGGCAGGTTTAAAAGCAAACCTCCAGACCAAGAGAATTTAAAATGCAGATTCTTGAAACAGGTTAGAAGTTTCCTTCGAGTAAACAAATGTTATAAAAAAATGTAGCAATTTCTTATTAATCCAACATTTATAATCCTTCAAATATATAAAGTATACAAGCACAAAAGTGAATTTAACTCAATACTGCAATGTTAGTTTCAACAAACGAGGGCAGTTATAAAAACCAAATCTGAAGTACTGCAAGCAAAGATTCCTGCTAGGGCACACCTGTTGTGAAATGATATATTACTGACGACAGGTGTAAAGAAAAAAAAAAGAAAAAAAGCACAGTGGAATTAAAATGTGTAATGCAGGCTGCATGTTTCAACAAGAATCATGAAACAGTAGTACTTGTTCTACACATAATGCTGAGTTAGATTAAACAGTAGCAGACCTAATCACCAAGACTTAAGGCCACGAAGAGGCAGATCAAAGTGCAGCAACGTCGAACTACTCATTGCGTACCTAACTTGCAGTTTCAGCTCATTGAAATGCAAGATTTTCATGTCTTTTTAAAACAGTTTTGCCATGCCAATCTCACTACAAACCATTTCCTAAATGCAGACCATAACCAGCATGGTACCATAATCCAACTGAAATCCACCCTGTTAGGGGCAGCACTAAACTGATCCGATGAAGAGAGAGAAAGATATTTTATCTCCACCCTGGTGGGGAACATTCCCAAAACCTGCCTTGCTTTACTGACCGGAAACTGAAAAATCATCTTTTTTTTCTCCTGCTTGTTCAGAGAGAAATGCCCAGGCAACTACAGTTTGACTCTGAAAGTAACAAATTGCTGGAGGAATCCAAGGGCAAAGAATTTTGAAGCTTGTTAACACAAGTTTTAGTTGTCCCTCATAAGGATGCGTTCTGCTTTACACATTTAGCAATTACTTACGTTTCTGTACAGACTGTTAGAATCTTGTATGTTCAAGAGAAAAGGTTTACTTATTTTAAACACTGCTTTTATTTTCAGCTTATATTTTTGGTTTAACAACATGCTATTGTTATAAGTATGTTACAAAATTCTTAATATTAGACTCTTGAAATAAATATTTCCTACTTAAGCATATCTGTGTACAGACATACCTGCATACATATCATTTGGAAAACCTTTATTCCCTAATGATATAATTCATGCTTACATTGTAGTAACCAAAATTAAAAAATGAAGACTGAATGCAAGAAAAGGCTTTAAAAATTCTGTTTGCTCATACCTACCTAAGTGGAACAGGAGTTATGAGCTGTAGGACACACATAAAACTGGCCTGATAAATACTAACTCCTATCCACAGAGGAGGAAGAAATCATATAAATGCAAGAAGACAGGCTTCTGCTTCCAGGTATGTTGTATCACATTCTAGTTTCGATTCTACTTGTTAAGTATTCACCTGTTTCGCTTAGTATGCACTAATGAACAGGTGGATAGAGCCAAAGCCAAACTCAAAGGAATTATGTCAAAACACTAATGTATTATACATCCTACAGGTCTCATCATGCACCTAGAATGGCAAACAGTCAGTCTCCCTTTCCAGATCTGACAATAAAATGATGAAACATCATTCTGTCTTTTGAAACATACTGCAATGCATACAAATAATGCTTCCTCCTGCTTAAGCAGCAAGTCCTAAGTTATTCTAAATATAGATCATTTCTTGTATCTTCTGATTGGGAAGAGCTGCTGAAGAAGAAAAAAAAAACCAACCCAAACCAAAACAAAAAAAAAAAAAAAAACCACACACCACACACTTGTTCCAGAACTTTGCTTTGATGTTTAGTAACATACTGCATACAAGTCTTCATAGCAATTACTTAAAAAGAGCTGCAAATTTATGCAAATTATAGAAACTCGTACAAACACCAGAAAATCCTTAAACCTGTGCAAAGATTCTACAAGAACGTGTCATCTGACTTTGCTTGTGCTACCTCAACTTTGGCCGACAACTCCACCCACACAAACTGCTCCATTCCACCCAAATATATTTGGACATCAAAACTGGAACAGATACCAGAACTGTTATCCAAGTATTTCAAAATGCACACCAACACTTTTCAGGGTGTAAAACTACAAGAAAGCTTTTTATAAAAAGATATTCTTTGAATGTACCAGAGGAGTGCTATCATATAGTAGTGGTTCAGGTATTACAGATTTTTTCCCATGCATAGTATATAAACTTTAAAACCCGAACTAAGAATTCAGCTCTTTGAGTCATAAAATATTGTTACTTCACAAGGTAAGGAGCATTAAACAAAAAACTTGTTCAGATTAGCAAGCAAAACCACAGGAAACAGTGCATTCTTTCAGACTACTCAAGGACACTAACAAGTTTAGTATGTCTTACTAAAACTATTGAGAACAACATTGTACTTGAAGAAGAGTGGATACAACTTTCAAGAATCACCTGCATTTTGCTTACCGGTTCTGAAAAGTCTAGGAGGGACAACTACTATATGAGAAGCCTGACCTCTTCACTTCGTACAGTCCCAATTACTCAAATTCTTTCAAAGGTTTTGTTTAAAGCAAAAAAACCTAAACAAAATCCCAAACTGAATTATCAAACGACCACTAATATGTAATCAGATATTTAAAAGCATTTTTGAGAGTTATTCATCAGTATCTATACTGGCATTTTCACTTTCATTTGGTGATGATAAGAATATTTAAAGAAAATACACATACCTGGGAAGTTACATATTCAAAACTGCTGTGGACAAAATTATAGCTATATATTATCTTATCCTTTTTTAATAAACAGGAATCTCTCTGTGCATTTGCTATTAAATGTCCAGCAGTATCACATAATCATAAATACATTTATCTATCTTTTAAAGGAAAATCAGTATTTACCAGGGCCTGAAGCATGCCGTTCATAACAACAGTCCCCTCCATGGTCTGGAAGGAGGATTTAGATAACATTGAAAGTGTCCAGTCCAGGAAGTCGGCCATCCTTTTTTGCCTGACATCAGGGCGGACAATAAATCTGTCAGAGAAAACAATAAAACACTGCAGTTACTAACTTTATGGCTCTCAACGAAAAATAATTTTTCCTGCTATCCAAACTGATTGCAGTTCCTAAGAACAATTCTCCAATGGGTATTTTCTTAAATCACCGAGAGTGAGAACACTCCAAACCATCATATGTTTAAGCCCTCTATTTCTGAGCAAGGCCCTGATCCAGAATTTCAATTTCACTTCAAACCAACCTATGAACTTGGATTCTAGAGATTTCTCATCTTAATTGTAAAGCAACAAACTTTCCAAAGGTCCCACATAAAGATTGTTTCCATTAGAATTAGTGAAAAGCTGAAACAAAACAAGGATTCTCCACTGTTCTCACCAAGAATAGCTATTCTGCAATCTGAAAATTGGCGGAAATCAACAATTGGTCCATACTGCACTGCTATCAGCCAGGCCCATAGAGAGTAATCATCAGTGCTGTATTTGTTTCTTCAGAGATTTGAAAAGGTCAAACACCTGTAATTTATCACACTGGATGGGTCAAGAGATGCATTTTTACGTATCTTACATGTGGCAAAAGAGGTTCATGGTGGTTAAACTACTTCCCTAAACCTATACTCAGTCATCATCAGTGCCAGTTACAGTGCTACAGTTAGGGCATCTGCTTCACTTATCTAATTTAGTATTCCTAGCACCTAAAAATTAGAGTCCTCTTCCAGCAGAGATTCAGACTAAATTAAGGAACTTTGTTCCCAATTCAATCAAAGAAAACAAGGTACATGGGAAAGCCCACAAAGTACAATTCATAGTGCTTAAAGAAGGATGTATGCAGAGCCTTTATCTGCTTACTTTATACACCTACAAATTAAATGGGGAACTGCACCAAGAGCTAACTAACGGGGACTATTAAATACAAAGCACACAGGAAATGGCGAGCAGACGTGATCACTTGAATTGTCTTCAAAGTCAGTACGGATTGTGTTCAGCAACAGAACAAAGGATTTGGGGGAGGGGTTAGGTGAGGGGGGTGGTTTGTTTTATAACAGAGCAGCAAGAATAAAGCTTTCTTTTGCACAATAGCGCAGGTAACAGAAGTAGCCTGTAAAGTAGATGAACTGGTTCCTAGACCCTTTCTCAGCCCAAAGGAGTTTAAATCTTGATTTCTCAAAGGAGTGCCCTAAACTCCAGACTAGAAGCATGATAAGGATAAGCCTCATCTCCTCCTACTGCAACCAGGTCACTGAGCAGACAGAAAAGAGAATTCATGAAACTAACTCCAGCTCCTTTGCCCTGTGAAAAGCAAATTACTTTGGAAAACATGAAGCCTTAGATCCTGATGTTTCTAAACTTCACTTGAAATTCATAAACTCCTTAGAGCAGGAACCAGAACCCAGACTTCCCCTTCCTCCCCAAGGAGCTTCCTACTCAGCGTGTTAGACTCCTGTATCTTATCTCTCTGTCTGTCCTAGGATTTTTTATTCCTGCCTACCTAACGGTCTAACTTCAAGAAGATGAAACAGTGATCTCATCTCAGAATAACTATGCCTGCTCATTAAAGATCTGTTTTAGGATGTGAAAGCAGTGAATTCAAGTGCACCAAAAGGCCTTGGACCCTGGTCTTCTAATTCCTAGTGAAGTGTTTTGATCATTAGGCTATTTTGAAAATGGTGTTTTCATAATAAACTAAATAATTGTAAGTACACTAAATAGTAATTTTGCTCCTATTACAGTCTTACCTTGATGCAGCTGGTACTAGAACCAGCTTAATATATTCTATCACCTCAGTTGTTATGAATATATACTTTTAATAAAAATTAACCCAGCCAATAAAATGGAGGTGAAGAGAACATAAGACAACTGCTAATAACGTGCCTGCAGAATACCCTGCGTTAGGATGCAAGGCACTTATAAAATCCCCCAAAATCCAAGGTTGAGCACTGCCATGAACACAAAGTTTTGCTGAATGTAATGCTGTAATCACAATCACATTTTTTTCATATATATATATATATATATGCTTCCACTAGTAATTTATTTTTACAGATACCCTGGAGTGCGAATGAAGTGGAAATTCAATTAGTATAATGGGATGAAAGAATCTTTTTAAATTACTGACGTTCTTACTTGAAAAGGCTTCCAGATACTGGGTGTACCTTCAAGAGTCTATCACGTTGGTTGATTTGGGGTTTTTTTCTGGGTTTTGTAGGAACTGAAGATGACAAAGGGCACATTCAGGCATATATGAATGCTCAGGAATAATTCACTCCATGTCACGCTTTCACCTTAAATCCTCTGCATCTGTCAACTTGTGACACGGCAGACTTCCAATGCAGATGCATAAAAATCCTAGAAAAGCAACTTCCACTTACCACTTCCAAAATAATGGCAAAAACTAACTAGGATAGGGAAACAAACCTACATTCTGTCACATGGAAATGAGTATGTAACAGACAAGATTATTTATTAAAGACTATTCAAATGATTCATGCATTCACTTAAATTTTGCTCTGAAATATTTCAGAGTAAATCAGAAAAGTCACCAGTAAATCAGGACTAGTCACCAGAGAACTATGATTCTAGTCTCAACTCCTCTATGAGTTTTGCGTATGACACTGTCAGTTCTAAAACAAAAAAATGTTTGTTTTGACATCAGATTCAGAACTGTAGCATTATACTCACTAAATACAAATTTCTAAAGCATTGAGTCCTGCCACTGAAGTTCAGAATAAATTTAAAGTAAGTACATGGACAGTTATTTCCCAAAAAGACAGTTAGGACCTGCTCTACTAAATGTTCCATTTAAGAACTATTTGGATACAATTAATGACACAAATTTTGTACCCCTTAATCCAGAGAAAAACGTTAACAAAGATTTTATTGTTCACACTAGCTACCCGCATCCACTATCATCATTTCATCTTGTTCACTCTACCGAGCCTCTGCTCCTATAGTTACACTGGCAAAACTATGTTGGCAGAGCCCCCTAGTGTAGGTAGAGTATATGCTAGCGTAAAGATTCTGGGGGGTTTGCTTGCTTTAAAAGGAAAGAAAAAAGAAAAAAACAAATGTCAAAGTGAGCTGACCAAAGTCCTCTTCTGCTAGTATATATTGGAATATGTACTGTGATATATATTGGAAAAAAGATACATGTGTACTAGTACAGTTTATGGTCTTTGTAATTTATTTTCATATGTATCACAAACGAAACCAATCTCCACTAATGCACTAGGAGAGGAAAAAAAAAGAGGTACAGAAGTTTATTATTTCAAATTTATAAAGAACCTTAGCATCAGTATTACTGAAGTGATGCAAAAAAATGTCAGAACAATGCCACAAATTGTTCCATGTCCAAACACCAACTGTGTAAAACAATGGGATTTAGAAAGTTCCATTATCCTACACCTGTTTCATTTGATGAATTAACAACAATAAATCTAAAAAACCAGAAGTATTGTTTTCTAGATGAGAGAATGAAGAAAGTGACAAGAGGCATATTAAGAAAAAAAATTCTACCTTTACTATTTCCTTTTACAGAACTTAAGTACTACTAGGAAACATCAAGCCAGTAATATTAGATACCAATTGTCTATTTACCATGCAACACACTGCAAAAATCAGCAGCAACTGAGTAAATGTATCTTTCCGAAACCCTGTAGTACAATCTAGTCCCTGGAAGGCAATTTGAACAGTATCCTGTTAGCAGTATCACTTGTGATAGATACCTGGTTCCTCTAGTAAGCAGAAGAAAACAGCATTTCCAATAATAAACACACTATTGGATCTGATTCTAGCAAGTTTAACATCCCACATACACTTGGCAACTTCCAGTCTTCCCAATGCTGTCATTAGTAGCATGTCAGACTAAAAAATGGCAGGAGAAATGGGAGCTAGCTTTTTTCCTTTCTGCCAAGAAGCACAAAAGAGACTTACTTTGAAACCAGTACAGCAGCTGCATCTCGAGCCTTATCACTGACAACCAAGTAACACTAAAGGTAAAAGAAAACTAACTGTGAAAGAATTCATACATGTAGATTTAATAACAACTACGTAACAACTTTTTACATGAATATACTACTTATACTTGTGATTATAAACATTATTATGATTACATATATTACATAATTATTATGATTACAAACTGAGCATACGATTGTAAAAAATTAATTTTCCCATTTAACAAATCATATCTCAGACAACAAAGTCTCTCTTCTAGTGTCTTTCAAAGCAAGTTTACCTCTGCTGACACCTTAACTTACAGTCATATTTGTGCTACTACATGCCTTCAAGCGATAAGCCACGTAAGTGCTGCAAGTGTCAAAAGCATAAACTGTTCAGGTATTTGTGGGGAGGGCCTTGTTCTTTATTTTTACGTGAAAGAGATGATGAGTTAGCCACTTCAGTTTACGCCTAGTGAAACTTCGTTATATTTGCTGAAAATTCTTCATGCAGTCATACCTTCCAATGTTACTCATCCTGATTGAACGCTAATTTCCTATAGATCATCAAACTTGGCTTTCAGAAAAAGCTAGCTAGTATTTTCAAATGCTAAAAGGTGTTAACATAATCAAAGGCACGCATTCATATCAGATAGTCATAAAATAAGACAGTTTATTACTTCAGGGAAAACAAGTAGCAGTTTCATGTGACACTAAAGCAGCAAAGAACATACTGAAGATTCCAAAACTATGGAGGAATTCTTTACAGAATGAGATACAGAAAATATGGGCTTAACTAATATTCTGAATAGACAGCAATTTATTCCCTATTGAAAGATTAAACCTAAGAAAAATATCACAGGCTTGAGAGTATTACAAGATGTACTGTAGTTACCTTTGCTATTTTAAGTATGCGATCCATTGTTGGTACACGAGCATGCCCTTCCTCAGAAATATTTCCATCAAAACGGGCCAGATCAAAAGGAATCAAGCATATCATGGAGAGCCATAATAAAAGCATATAACGAGTTTCCCAAGTCTGGAAAAGAATGGTAAAACAAAATACGCACTCCATTTTCTGGAACATACTCCAACAAAGCACCTGGAGCACAAACTATCCACTAGCTCCAAGAAATTTTCAAAGTAAGATAATGAAGAGAAAACTCTGAACCTGAATGCTCTGAAACACCAAAGGAGACAGAACTACAAGCGATTCCAAACAGGAAAACTGTAACAAAATTAATGGCCCCTCCCCTCTGAATCTGAAATCTAGACAAGTTTATTTCCTTCCCAAAGGAAAACTGCATGTTGTCATTTTCCTGTTTCCTCCTTCCTTCAACCCATTTGTGCCTCCAGTCACAAATATGAGAGAAATATGTTCTTCTTCCTAATTTTTTCTGTATTGCTCTCATGGGTTTATTGAAACAATTTTAGATGCGTTTTGAGAAACAGACAAGAAGGAACTTTTACGAGCTTTAAAGCTGTACAACTACAACAGCAGCAAAGTGGTCAGAATTGATGATTATTAAAAAATAATCTTAATTTAGAGCAGGAAAACAATTATTGTCTTCATATCCATGATTTTTGTTACTTATAATAGACTATGATCTGTCTTAAAATTCATTTGTCTTAATAAGCCTTCTGGAATTCTTATTTCTCTTTATTCAAAAATATAAGAATATGAATTACGGTATCTTAAGAGTTGGACTCGATGATCTTTATGGGTCCCTTCCAACTCAACACATTCTATGATCTCAATCCATGCTTAAAAATTCTTTGTTTAAATATTTTTTCAAATTGGAATTCTTGCCCAGAACATTCCCAGCCAAATAAAACTTTAAATCAGGACACATAATGAAGTGGTGTCACACTGTTTTTCAAATTGCAAACAGGTAGAAAAAGATCTGAAATTCTGTGTATTTTTCCACACTCACGAATATATTATCAAAAGACAAAAATCCAAGCGATTCATGCCTCGTGTCATAGTCGTGCAATTTTCTCCAATATTCACCTCCCTTCTTTCAGAAGGAGAAAAAAACCCCAACCAAAACCCCTCCACAGATCTGTAGATAGATATTGGGGGGTTGGGGCAGAATAAAACATTTTATGAACTTAAACAAGGAAAATTAACTATCGTCTTCATTTCCTCATCAAAACAGAAGTTCTCATACCAACTTTGACAAAACCCAAAGGTATAAAACCCAGCCTCTTTACATTAAGAAATAGGAATAAATACATAAAACCTAGATATTCCATTTCCTGTGATTTTACTTTTACAACTTCAAGCTGAATTAACACAACTATTAATGCATAGCAGGAAGAGGCCTTTTCAGTTATTCCTTTTAGAAGTTTAATATCTTTCACTGCCTTTTTTATTAACGTTGTTTCAATTAATTTGTTCCCTTATGTGAGAGGTTAAAGATTTTACTTGCACATCTACCACCATCGCTTCTAAATCCTTAGAATGTACTCCATGAAAGAAAAAACACAAGAGCTCTCCTTCAATAAGACATTTCTCTTCTGACAAGATGACTTCCATACTAAAACCAGATGTTTCACTAACACCGGACAGGATGTATCACTGCTTTTACACTTTTTTCCCCAGATTTTTTTCTTACACTGTTCATCAGCTTTTTCTGCTGGAGACATAAAAGTTAAACAAAAAGTACAGCAAGTTCTTACCTCAGAGTCTTTTGGATTCTGGTCTACAAGCATATCCAAAACAGGCTGTAGATCACCTACTTCATGGGGAAACAGTGGAAGGAAAAGTTTGTACCCTCTCACCTATAAAAGAAAGTTTCAGAATTTAGTAAGCCACCTGGCATTGTCAAGTACTGAGGAAAAAGAAGAGACCCTTTGAGGAGCTTCTTGTATATGATCCTCATCCATTAAGAACAGTAAGGATATGAATTAAGGTCTTAAATACCTTGAGATTTTTGCATTTTTAAAAACTTACTAAGAATTAATGGGATGATAATTCTTTAACTGTAAAACAAGGGACCTCTGGAGATTGTCTAGTCCAGCTCTCTTGCTAGAGCATGGCCACCCACAGCAGGCTGCCCAGGACCATGGCCTGTAGGGTATTCAGTATCTCCAGGGATGGAGACGCCACAACCTCTGTGAACAATCTATTCCAGCATTCAGACCTCACAGTCAAAAAATGTTTTCTTATGCTCAGATGGAAATTCCATATTCCATCTAATTCTTCATCATACTTTACTCTTCTTTTGAACATTATGACTGCAATTGTCTGCAATTAATTTTTTTGCATTCAGACCTTCAGTTTTACTACTCTGGATCATTAAATAACATAAGTGATCACGAAAACAATAAAAAAAGAGAACTAATCTTTCACAGTACAGTTTAAAAGATTTCATTGCATTACTCAGGCAATTATTTATTTTACTGTTTTTGAAAATGTTAAATTTTTTTAAAGTTATTTAAACAACAAAGAAAATACCAGAAACTTACACATTTCAATTACATGTTACATTTGGAGGGTTTTACCTTTGTAATAATGTAAAGAAATTTAAAAGCCAGGTGAACTAGTGGCGAAGGAGATCCATTGTCCCGTACTATATCCAACAATGAATTCATCATCCACTCTAATGAAAGGAAAGAAAAAAAAGTGAGACTACATAGAATCACACAACGGTTTCGGTTGGAAGGGACCTTAAAACCCATCTAGTTCCAACCCCCTGCCATGGGCAGGGACACCCTCCACTAGCCCAGGTTGCCCAAAGCCCCATCCAACCTGGCCTTGAACACTGCTAGGGATGCAGGGGCAGCTACAGCTTCTCTGGGCAACCTGTGCCAGGGCCTCAGCACCCTCACACGGAAGAACTTCTTCCTGATATCTCATCTAAATCTACTCTCTTTCAGTTTAACATGCAGCTAGTTTACAGTTTCTCATACTTCTAATAATGAAGAGGGAGATAGTAGTCATATAAGTAATATCAACCACAGCAATCTGTAATGCAAATATGGACCTTATAGTTTAACAGATTTTCAAGTATATACACAAAAAATATTTAAAGGTGACATTCCTACCTACGTGATGATCCAACAAGTGAGGTTGCTCCTGGTACTTGTCCATTATACCTGAAAAGGAAAAGGTATCTGTAGCAAGCTATTCAATTTAAAGGCTCTTACAGACATCGACTGTGAGATACACCTCGATTCTAGGCAGCTTTAGCTTAAGATTTCAGTATCCTTCAGCTAAGTGCTGCTAGTGCCTGTAAGCAAGGTCAAAAAGTAAGAAAACTACAGAGAAATAACTGTAAAAGACTGTCCACTTTGTAGTGCAATCATTTACTACATTGAATCATAAACTCCCTTCCAGGAGTCTCTCAAATTACTGTGGACAAATCTCACAGGCAGATGAATCAAGCAATCACTCTGTTGCAGTCCTCCACTGCAAAGCGCTTTGTGGCTCTTCCTTCCTAAGCACACTTACCAGTACACCATTTCTGATGGAACTCTGCAAACAGACAGCAACATTAAACCAGTATAGACTGTAGCTGCTCCACATGTAACAGCTTTACACTAAACTGTTACCAATACAGCAACCAGAATGCTGCTTTACACCTTTCTGCCTTGCTGTTCACATCTTCTTCATTAACACACGGAATCTTACTTGCTTTTACACACAGTTCCATTTGTTACCATGTCAAATTACTGGTTGCCTTTAAAAAACCACACACATAGAGCCTACTCAACGTCAAAAAGTATAATAGCATGACACTTTTCCAACCCTGAGGCTAACACAGCCATGGGGAAATTCTCCCTGGACACACTGGGTTTCACCACAAGGCTATCTTCCTTCCCATGCCTGGTACATACTTGAAGATATAGTTCCACCACTGAGGATCTGTATCGAAACAGGGTATGGGCATTGCAAAATTCTTACCTCTTTGTTTTGAGCTAGCTGACTATAGCAGAAAAAAACCAACAAAGTACTACTTGGTAAGTGAAGATGCTCTTCACAATTCTCAGAGCTAGTTTTTATTTTGAAATAGAATGCAGGAAATTATTCAGCAAAGAACAAAGAATCCTTGATGCATTTTAACCTGGACAAATACAAACTGTAGCTATTACTATCAGTGCTCCTCAAAACTTTTCACGTTACCTACTTTATCTTGCTGTCAGTAACATGTTGTCTTCCTTTTGCAAACTGACTTGAGGAAAAACAAATTGAAATTGAATATTGAAAAAACTAACAACAACTTGCCACAGTTTTTAGAAACAAAAGCACTTAAATTTAAACCTAGATTCAATGAAAAGCAGCTACAGAAATGAAAATTGGATTTCAGATGAGATCATTAACTGATCCAGTATTGCGCTGGTCATTTGAGATATTTGCTCAGAAAATAGCTTTTTAATTAAAAAACTAAAATACCTTCTTAATCTCTCCTTTTCCTGCATTTGTTTCTCTCAAACAATTTTGCTCTCTATCCCTTTTCTCCACTTGCCACATCAACGCTTAGGCTTCAACAGCGCTGTACCTGGCCAATGGATAACACTGCACAACTACTGCCAAGACACCAGCCAGTCCAACAGTATCCTTGCAGTAACATACAGTTCCATTGGGATACCACAGTGCTGTCTCCTGTCAAGAGGGAAGCCTGACATTAGCCTCATCACTAACTTCCCATTTTAATTAATGATACCTTAAGCTGCGTACAAATAACAGAACTAGTGAATACAAGAAATTCCATCAACATTCAAAGCAACAGCCCTCAAGCAGAAGTGGAACTTCACAGCAAATTCCTTATCTTGCCAAATTGTTTTCCCAGATCACAGTCTGGCAATCTGAAGTAAAATCCCAAATCCAAATTCTGAAGAGAAAAAAAACTGGGGAAAAAAAGTTATTCTAATTATTAAAAAAAAAACCTTCCTAAATTTCCTACAGACTTATAGTTGCAGGTTAAACTACCTTCCAAACTTCTGTTTCTAACAGTTCACAAAAAATGAGCACCACATGTTTTTGTGAATGCTTTGGGGACCTGTATTAAAATAATCTGTAATTGATCATTACTGTGTTATCTGCATACAGATTAATATTCCCTAAGCTTCAACGTTACATCCCACACATTTAGCCTAAAACCATATTTGGGACATTTTGTCCAAGAAAGATCAAATGATGCCTTACGACACAAAATATTGTAACCAAAAGTTGAACAAGATGTACGGTGCCTATCAGTTTTAAGTATATTAACACTGTATTTACTTGGCAATGATAAAGCTCTTCCAATACTTCCCATAGAGCAATATCCTCCTACCTTCAAAGGACATGCTCCTAAGTAGTACAAAGGTCACAGGTTTCAATGGGTGGCAAAGCAATTTTTCTCATAAGAACTTACGTGATAGAGTGGAGATGCATGCAGAAAGTTCCTAAATACAATTTAAATACACAGAGACAGTATATATGGTATGAAAGACAGAGAGGCATAGCAAGATGACCAGCTGGAGGAGATGATGGCCTTTCAGAGGCTGAGAGTTCTTCAGTAATTGCTTTTCTATCCATCAAATTCTGTCATTTCACGTTATAATGAACAATCAAGACAAACATGAGTGCTCTTGCTACTTCTTTCTGAACACGATCATCATTAACCTCCTCAGATGGAACAGTCAGTTCAGTCGATCGAGTACAATTCTACTGAGTAGGGTCAGATTTCCAAATTTGGGGTTTTCTGGTTTCTGATTTGCCTATCTAGTTTCTTTTTCTCAAGAACAAAGACATGAGAGCAGTATTTTTACTGTAAGTTTTTACAATTTCACTATTTTTGCAAAAGTACTTGCAAAATGCTAGTCTACTTGATTTGCAAATACATGAAACATTGAATTAACTTTTGCAAAGCATCTGGTCAGAATATTGGATCCAATACACAGATGTGCATTATAACAGGCTAATTACCTAGGACACTGCCACATGCATGTAATTATACCACTTCTATATTCACCTGAGGTCTAGAAGCAGATTAACTTTCATTGTATAGCACAAAAGCCCAGCTACTAAGTCAGGTGCAAGTTGTCTCCACTCAGAAACAATTACATGATCTGTATGGAGTCAGCTGTCCTTCATATTTCCAATGAAGTATAAAAGTAAAAATATGAAATTACCACTTTAAAGCTCAAAATATATGCATTTTTAACAAGTAGTAACGTAAAAAATGCCTTTATTTGACAGACATACAAACTAAGTTATTGCCTGCATTTGAATAGGGAACTGGAGGCTAAACACAGGTCAGAATTCAGATTTCTTGAATCCAAGACCTAGGTTTTTATTTACAGTAGTTAAATACCATGTAATAGTGGAATATATATCTGGAAAACAAAATAAGTAAAAGAATACATCTAAACTACCTGTTGATAAAGTTGTATCATTATCACTAATCCAAAATTAGCAGTTTACTCCTTTTTCAGTAGTTAAGTTCCTTTAAGCAGCACAAGAACATGCTCCCTTTGGATCATGCGCTTACCTATGAATTTTTCCGTGGTCATTTCTCGAGTCACCAGATCCCCAAAGACTCCCTTCAGGTTACCGATGAGCCCCCCGACCTCCTGACTCTCTGTGAAACTCTCCAGGATATTTCTCGTGGTGATGACACCCGGCTCCTGATTCTTGCCTTCCTCTGGCTCCGACCCCGCTCCATCCATCTCGTCCAAAGCCATACCCGAGGCCTGCCGGCGGTTTTCCCTGTAACAGCTAGGCAGAACGACAGC